AGTTTTCCCTCCACCATTCCTCTTTGTGGTACCCTGTTTTTTTGCTTTGACAAACATCCAATTCCAGAGTTGTTTAAAGCCCTCACTAAAAATTGATACAAGTACCAAGAATATCTACTGTACATTCTGACAGTTACCTCATTCATGTAGTCATGAAGGACATCAGCACAGGGACTAGTGTCTCTGTATTGCACCTGTCCTTCTCAGTCAGTTCCCAGCTTGGTATTTGGGAGGTGTGGGGGACACATACCAATTTTACACAGGGCTGTCAATGGATATGTGCTACCTTTTAACCATAATAGAGATAGCTCCTTTAACGATAACCAAATGCAATCTATAGGAGAGAGGAATTTTGCACCTTCCTCAGCTCTGACATACGTGAACTGGAATGCAAACCTTCTGATCAAACAAGAAGCGTTAGCCAGGTACTACTGAGAGGTTTTGAATCCTTCTCTCAGCGCAATCTGTAAGATGTGTCTCATGACAATCTTTATTATTCTTGAAATATTTCTTCCTTACTAATATTTGGCTTCCTACCTGGAATTGTTAGAGTCCCTTCTTTCCCTTGAGGAGGCAAAAGGCACCAAATACTTAACCCAGCTGCCAGAGTGTAACTGGACAAGTGAATGAGCAGGGCCATAGTACCTATGTCTTATTCTGGCCCTGGTAGAGAAGAGGAATTGCCATCAGTTTTCGAAGGCAGTGGGTATGTATCAGATACTCAATGGCAACGGTACAGAACCTTCATGAACAACACAGAGCTAGAAGCAGGGTGGAAACTGAAAAAAGCAAGCAAGGGGAAGGAGGACATTTAAAAGCAGGTTAGGACACTGCAGTCAAGTACTGCCACTCTTTCAGCAGGTGTTTACCTTTCTAGGAAAGAAGAGAAAGGGCTCTAGCGAACTAGGCAATGGCATTTTGCTGCCACACCTGGACAGAACAAATGAAAACTCTCTGAGAAGAAATGATGTAATGTATGGACTGACAGTCCTTATAAGCAACTTATCTTGGGAAGAATGCTCAAACTGAACTTAATTATTATTTGTTTTCAGTAACACTCCTCAGGAAGAGAGAGAGTCTGAACAGTAACCAGGCACTTTTCCTGGATGAAGCCTTTGTTGTCTAGGGAACACTCCTCTTTCACTCAGGATTAATGGAGATCAAGTGAGGGGAAACAAATAGGAGAGGTTCTGGCCAGGAGAATCTGAAGTAGTCTGGAAGCTGGCCAAGAGGAGGGAGAGGGTAAGAGGCATACTAGTATGCAGGAGATAACTTACCTGTGATTGAGTCACTCCCCAACCATCATTGTGATATCAAAGAGTAGAAAAAAGGTTAGGATTACCCCAACTTGTGTGGACAGACAGACAATATCTAGTTTTATCAGATTCTCTGCAAGGAAATGTTTACTAGCGTAAAACGTCAGCCACATGCAACCTGCTCCTAGGCACATGTTTGCTTTCCAGAGCAGCTGGAAAGACCATAAATAATATCAAGAGATATTATTAGAGACCTCCATACCATAATGATGCATGTTATGTGCCAAAGCCCCTCTCTGTAGTCAATGTGCCTCAGGTCCAATGCAAGGCACAGCAAGTAAATGCTAGCAAGACGGATCCTGGAAATCTGGTCCAAGTCATCTACACACGCTGAACCTCTAACACAGCTGCTCATTTGTGTGCCTGCATAAGACCAACATGTTCAGTCAGCTGCATTTCTGCCATGTGGAAGGTGAGCAAAATTGAGTTCTCTCTCAGATCAAGATGACAGCAATTCAGATTGCTCACAGCTTGGGATCAAAAACCTCTTCAACAGCCACAGAAAAAAACATAATTTGGAAAAAAAGGCCTTTTTGCCAATAAGTCTCCAATCAAGGCAGGATCTAAGAATGAGCATCTTCTGCCAGAGACTAGCCAGTGGAGGGAAGGTTACCCACCAAATAAGAACAAACAACATGTCAAGGTCTAAACTGCAATGAGGGAAACAACTGTGTGGGAAACATATGTTTCAGTGGTCCTTATTATTGTCGCCATTATTATTGGGTCATAATATTTCTATTGTAAACTACTGTTCAGGTTAGAGTCTAGTAATGATACATACAATAGAGAGCTTGGCTTATTCCGCTTAGCAAAACAAAAGCTGAAGGGGGCTATGATCACACAATTACCATAATACACTGGGAGGAAGCAAACATATCTAAAAGCTAGACCAGGTTGTCCCAAGATCCAGCCCCTGGTGCTGGCTCTGGATTGTGACTGTATCCTCATGCTTCATGCAGTGCATGTCATAACCTGTGCACAGAGCCCAGGACATGCACTGCATGCAGCATCCACATGGGGCTAGCCCGGAAGCCCCCATCCCCACATGCCAGGTCCAGTGGGACTACATTGCAGGCAGCACCCATTCCAGCTGGTCTGAGGCAAGCACCACATGCAGCAAGAGCCCCAGAGTGCAGCCAGAGATGACACTAGATCTGGCACGTGAGGAACAGGGGTTCGTGGGTCCCCGACTCTAGCTGGTCCAGGACTGTTATACACAGTGTCTGCTCCAGCCAGTATGAGACTTAACACTGCATGTAGTGCCCAGCCTGGACTGGTCAGAGTGGGTGCCACATGTGACAGTCCTGGATTGGCCTGGATCCAGCATGCATGGGGGGACATGGCCTGGTTCCATGCCACTCACCTAGCCCATGGGCCAGATGAATCTGACATCCCAAGCTAAACAACAGTGTTGGCACAGGAGCAAATACATTAGGTTGGAAATTGGAAAGTGACTTCTAACAGACAGAGCAGGATTACTGTATTCCAATAGGAGTAATAAGGAGAAGAAGTTCAAGTGGTTTGATAAAGCTCTTGTTTAAATGCAAGAATGTGTGATACATTTGCCTGAGACAACAGAGGACTGGACTTCATAACCTGGAAGACCCTATCCAGTCCTCTGGGGTCTCCTGTAGTTCATGGTAGTGCCCTGCCAACTGAACCAGCCTTCCACTAAGGGCTGTAAGTAGAGCTGGTCTGTTTGACAAGTTTACATATGGGAGAGGGTGCAGGGGGGTGATCGAAATTCATAACAAATTATGAATGCTTTCCCTGTTTGTCAACTAGTTTTGGTAAGACTATAGTTCACTGCTGTTTAGTTGTTTTCCTCCCTCCCTCCAATCAGCATACCTCCCTCATTTCCAGTGTCTGCCAACTAAACACTCCCCGTAGAGACTAGCAGTTAAGAAGCCTTCCCAGAGACTGCAGTGCTTAACAGATGCTAGGAAGTGCAAGAGAACAGTATAAACCATATCGCTGGTAAGCTTCCTTGTGTGCGGACAGCACCACGCAACAACGCCAGCCTGAGAGGAGAGCGCGCTAGGCCAGCATTCTGCCCCGCCCGCCCAGACAGCCAGCAGAGACCGCTGTCTCCAGACTCCCCCCGGCACAACTCCGGTGACACCCATCAGGGATGACTCGTTCCCTCGGCTAACCAAACAGAAGGTAACACAGTGCCTCTCTCAGGGATGCTGACAAAGGATGACTGAACGTCTCCCCCCAGTCACTGCCTTCAGTATTACAGACCAGGTCACACTAGGGCTCTTCATCTTCTCAAGTTCAGGTTCGAAAAGCCAGAGCTCACTGCAGAGGCAGGGCCAGGATCGTCCAGGAGAAACTGCACCTGCTGTGTGCGTCCGGCCAGCACCTTAGGCTCGGGCACCTCTCGTCAGACGGACGCTGCCCCCGGGACAATGCCACCTCTTAGTGCCCCGGGGGTTTGTGACTATGGAAAAAGAGCAGAGCCATTGTTTTTTGTGGCAGCGGCCGGCCCGGCAAGCACAGCCTTACCGGCGCCTCTTCACAACGAGTAACACAGGCTTGCAGCCGAGGGGCTTCCCGCCAGGCCTGCACCTGGCCCTTTAAATCTCCGGGGGGAGAGGGGGAGGCTTGGAACGTCCCTAGACGCGGTCTCCATGGAGACCAGCAACATTCCGCTTCCCGGGGAGAGCAGCCAGGTGCGGCGCCAGCGCCGGGGGCAGGCGGGGCACATGGGGCGCGAAGGCTGGCGCGCAGCTGGAGCTGCCCGGCCCAGCCCGCGTCCGAGCTGCGATGGGGGCGGAGCCGCCCTGGATCCCGGCGCTGCTGATGCCTCTGTCCCTGAGCACGTGGGACCGAGGCGGGCGAGGCCGCTCCAGCCCGGGCTCCCCTGTGTGTGGACACCCCTGCAGGCGGCCCGCTGCCCTCAGCTGACTGCTGGCGGGGGAGGGTAGTCGCGGCTGCTCTCCGTGCCGCAGCCCGAGGGGCAGCAGGGATCAGGCGGGCAGGGTAACCTCTCCCTGGCTGCTCCCCCGGCACACAGTGACTGGGAGCCCCCGGGCAGGGCCTGGACTGGCGGGGTCGTGTTGCCTTTTAGTTCTCCAGGCCTGAACCGTGACTGCCCCACCAACATCTGAGCCGCTCGAAGTGTAACCTGTAACAAGTCTTATTTTGCACAAAGCATCTCCGAGGAGCGGCTGTCTAGCATTTAACAGCAGAACAGAGGACGGGGCGAGAACCTTTCCTGCTGCCAGAGCGCCTGGCGGGAGTGTTTGCATTGGGCTTGTTCAGTTCTCACGGACTTACCAGAAGGCGTCCTCAGTTCTTGGCTAGTTTCGCTGCCTCCACGTTCCAGTCCTTCCCTGAGACTCAACACGTCCACTTCTAGCCACTGTTTTTTCTCCTTTTGTTCTAGTTCAGTCTTTATGCTCATTCAGTCCCTGCACAAATGGCCACCCTAGGTGCCAGTGATGGGACAGGAATGCATGGCCACACCCACTTGGAAATAGGCAGAGTTCAGGAAACTATACAAGCAACAAAACAAGCAAGTCAATGGAGCACTTCCTTTCTACAGAAAGAGGAAAATTGGATGCCTCTATAGATAAGGCTGGATGTTACAAACAAGGGCCATTAGTGAAACCATAAATGCTGTCCAGGGAAATGTGTTCCCCCTGCAGGCTGATCATGCTGTCTTTTCAACTTGCTTAGCTCATCGGAACACAAGAGTTCAGGAAGGAGGGAAACAGCTGGCAGTACAGAGGTGGAACCAGAGAGCAGCTTCCGGGAAGGGGCCACAGAACAGGCACCTCCAGCCTCAGGTACTCTGAAGCCCCATCCTTGTTGGGCACTGGGGTTGTAGCTATAATACACATACAGGACAAGAAAAAAAATCAAGTCACATAGGACAGAACAGAGAATAGTCAGGGAAGGAAAGAAATACCCCACAAAAAGAACTTTGGTACAACTGGAGTTATTCAGCAGTAGTCATTGCACTTTAAATTCATACCTGCACTTCATTTCAGTGGGTACTGAGAAATAAGGTATAGCAACGAGCAAACATTTCAGTTTTGGACACCTTAAATTTGACACATCTTTGTGTGAGAATCCAAATATCGGGCTGATTTTTCTAAAGCTAGTGAACATACACTGTTCCCATTGCCATCACTTAGTCACCCAACTAAAGTTAGATGTAGAAACTAAGCTTGAAAATGTTAGCCTCAGTAATCTGATGTGTGGAGTAGGACAGGAGCAATGGTCAAGCAGGGAAGGAAATATGGTCACCACTCTTTGAATCAGTGAAGAAATGGAGTAGACTGTGTTTCCTATCTAAGAGAGGGCTTTTGGTGTGGCGTTTATAGTCCCTTCAGTAAATAAATATGATGTTGATTTAATTTATATGCATCTTTACTAATCATTTTGTCTCCCAGAGCAAATCCAAATTTTGCTCATTTATTCGTGTATGGATAGAGTCTAGGTTAAATGCTAGCAATATTTATGTGCAACAGGTACTGAAGATCATCGCATACTGCCAGGAGGAATTACAAAAGAAAGTTCTTCCTTGTCATTAAATACATTAAGCAGGTAAGAAAGGGCCTTTGTTTGACCAGTACAACTGTCATTTGGAATCAGTGAAATTATTTCCATTGATTTCAATGGAAGCTGAATCGGGCTCCTGC